CTTGTTCCCATGTGCTTCCACCATTAAATGACCCAAACTATATAGGCAACTCCCTTTGCAGCTCGTTACTAGCTAGAGTAGTCTGTTGTAATGCTGCCAAGTTTTCATTGTTGGAAGTAGAATGTTTAGGTGAATGTATCCCATAGTTTCCCAACTCCGAGCTGACTCTAAACTGATCCAATTGTGTTTTATCTCCTTGATTGCTTGGACCAGCTCCATTGCCCATTCCTGGGAAAGTACTTGGCAGTGAGTTCTCCGCTGCTTGCTTGTTCGTGGCTGTATTATGTGTACACTCTTTATCTTCACAGTCTCCCCATGATTCCTTATCATTAGTCTGAGTTCTCTTTTCTGGATGTTCAGTATTAAGGTCTTCTGGATGTTCAGTATTAACTTGGTCTGCAATTCCCTTTCTTAGTAATCTCCTCTAGACTAGGAATCCCAGCCCCATTAGGACTTCTATTTCCATCATACCTTCCAGAATCAAGACTTCTAGCATCATCAGGTTTAGAAAGTTTCTTGGTTGAAAAAGAATTCCCATGATCATGGCTTCCACCGGCCTGAAACTTGCTGATCGGAGTGTTAACTTCACAATCAGGACTGCATTTGCTCGTAGCTGCCATGGTTCCCTTTGGATTTGACTCTAGTGGATCACCAACTCGATCATGGCTGCCTACTCCACCATCGTTTTGCCCAAGAAGGACACCACTGCTGCCTACACCAGCACCATTATCTTGTTCTGACCTGCCTCCCTTCTTAGTTGAGAGATCACGACCAGTCAGATTACTTGATGTTTGAAACCCTAATCCAGCTTTAGGGCTTGCATAGCCTGGACTATTCATCAACTTCTTCTTCATACGTTCTAGTCCTTCTTGAACGATCATCTCCAGAGGTTCAACACCATACCTTCGTGCCATATCATCCTCAATATCTTGAACATAATCGTGTTTGAAATCAGAGTCATCATTATCTCCAAAACCATCAGTGTGATTAGAACTTCTATATGTTTTCTTCAAAACAAAAAAGATTAAAATTGGCTAAGAATTAGGGTTTTAGATTAGGAAGAAGAAGATGCAAAAAATCGCCCTAGCTTTGTCCCCATTAAAGCTTTTTCAAGCTTTACAAGCTCATTACTCTTTCACTCTCTCACGTACACAATGTGAAATGAACACCTAGAGAGAGTCCTTAAAAAACATATCAGAACCTTATGTACTACCAAAGTTAATTGCCCTTAATATAGGGTCTCAAAATACCACTAATTCCTTTTAATTTGGTGGTCCTGAACCTCGGCCCAAAATCACCCCATGTGCATCATCCTTGTATGCTATGCTTGTTTCCAGATGCTTGTTATTGCTATTTTGACCATCTTCCTGATTGACTCCCTCCACCTGTGATGTAGACACTAAGTCTCTAGCTTTACATACATGTCTTCTCTTTGTAGTTTCCCACCATGTATCCCTTCATTGCTGTCTATGGGGTCCTTTCCTTTTGGTTCATTTAGAACCACCTCTTGTGCATCCATTGGTTGCTCTTCTTGTACCTGAATTGTACTTGTGATTGGCACTTCATCTCTAATCTGACCATTGTGATCTTGTACCTTCTTGCTCTCCTGTGAACATGGTTCATGTTGTTCCTTTCTTAGCCACACCTTCTTGCCACCCACCACATTAGCTTGGGCCTTTGGGCAGTCTTTTTCATTATGCCCAAAGATCATACACTTACAACACCTAGGTGGCTTCCAATTATACTCAAACTGAACTGGACAACCTTCTTACCATCCAAGACAATAGGCACACCCTCTGGATATGAGCAATCTGGTTTGATACCAACGCAAATGCGTGCAAAGGATGTCCTTGTCATAGTCTCAGTCAATCTATCAGCATACAACAGCTTTCTTACCACACTTCCAACCTGGCTGAAGCCTTTCCTGTTCCACATTGCCAAAGGTAGGTTCTAAATGATAACCTATATTGGAATTGTTTTGAGTTCATGTATGTCGGCTTCATGAAAATTCTCCCACGGTCTAATGATACACGGCTTACTAGCAATGTGGAAGCTCCCATTGTCTAAAACTCTCCTTCGATCCTCATCACTATTAAACTCAAATGTATATGAGTGATTCCCATAAGAGTTCATAGTGAAATCCCTTCCAGGTTCTTTGCACCTCCTCTTTAACATAGCCATATGCACGTCTTTTTCCCATTAAGCTGCCCAAAAGTAATCTAGCAAAATTTTCTCTTAAGTGCTTAAACTGATCAGATTGCACATGTATAACAGGTTTTCCATTGACAATAGATGGAGGAATATATGTAAATTCATCCTTACTTACAGTGCTACGGCCAAGAACTTCTGTCCGTGACTTACCTTCCATGTAGTTCTTCCCTTGGAACGAGCCAAACTGAATATTTGAGTTGTCTGCACGTTTTGTTGGAGAATGAATACCAAACAAAAATTAGTGGGTTTCCCCAGGTAAGCCTATTTTTTAAATGGGATTAGTAACCCGATACCACTGGGGTTTGATCCCCTGACCTCTGGTATCATCACCCAGAGATCTTACTAGTGAGCTAACACTTGGTTGGTCTATCACTACTGATTTAACGGTAATAACCAAAAATCGTCAAATCAATGAGCTGCTGGAAATGATCTCAGGTTGAGGTTCTTCACTAGATGTACTGGTAGATGGTGTAGCGAGAGGAAACACTGATGATCTAAGAGGTGGAAGTTCTGAATCATCATTTGTACGCTCAGGTGCACTAAAAGGAGCATCATCAATCTTCACATTATAGTCTCTTCCACAACTTTCCTCTCAAGATTGTAAACTCTGTAGGCCTTACTGTTATTTGCATACCCAAGAAAAATCCCTTTATCTACCTTCCTGTCAAACTTAGCAACATTCTCACGGTCTCTATAGTACACCAGGTCTCAAGTAGACTCGGTTAGTCATAGTACCAAGTCTCAAGTAGACTCGGTTAGTCGTAGTACCAGGTCCCAAGTAGCCACATGTTCTTCAGCATTGATAACATAACAATCCTCATTGGATCGTATTCCTCTCATGAGAACCTTGTTCAAGTCACGATCAAGAACTAGACATTCCTTGCTTGAGAATAAATAGAAATTACCCTTATCACATATCTGACTGATACTGAGCAAGTTATGTTGAAGACCATCAACAAGAGAAACATCACTGATCTTTGGAATGCCTTCGGATTGGACCACACCTTTCCCAACTATCTTGGCATTCACACCATCTCCAAAGATCACATTTCCACCATCATATGGCTCATAGTCTTTCAGAAAAGACTTGTATCCTGTCATATGTTTCGAGCATCCACTATCAAGATACCACTTAGAGGTTTTTCCAACTTTTAGAGCACACTTGACAACCAAACACTTTGCAGAATTTTTCGGTTGCCATACTGCTATAACTTTCTTGGGATAAGATTTGCTGATTAAGAATTCCAGATCTTTCTTCTTAGCCTCAAGAGATGCAAAGTTTTCCTCGGTTCTAAATCTTGATCAACCCTCTTAGTAGCAAGCCTCTTTCTACAGTATCTATGTAAATGACCAGGTTGACAACAAAAGAAACACAAGCGTATCCCACAATGTTGATTCAATCTCTAGTTAGCAGTTTATGTACCAAACTCTTTTACATCCCTGTATCCCAATCCAACCTTATCATGAGGACTCTGAGATACCTTGAAAAGGTGATCTAGAGGTCTCAGAGGATGAAGTAGACACCTTGTCTTCCCTATTGAGACCTCCATCTTCTTTAGCTCTAGAGTTAGAATCTCTTTCTCATCTGAAAGAGACTGGATTAGAGAACTGAGTTTGGTAACTTGATCTTGTAGCTGCTCCTTGTCACTTTAAGATCCCGACTCTTGTCATACAATTATATGATTTTGACTTTGTTGATTTCAAGTTTTTTTGCAACTTTCTTGAATCCTTCATAGAGTTAATTGTATGTAGACTGAAGATCCTCTTCTTCTGAATCACACTCAGAATCAAGCTGAGAACATGATATAGCCATGAAATCTCTTTCGAAGAAAAAGACTTGGCGAGATTCCAGTTTTTCCTGCAAAACTTACCCATATTCTCAACCATTAAGGTCAAGACATCAATAGATTCAATAGAACAAGTGAATTTGAAACTTAGAATATTAAAGCAATCTGAAGAGATATCACACTTAATAACATCTAAGCCATGATCTCTAACATGCTTATGATCCTTTTCAGCTTAACATATGATATCAGGTAAGACAACAAGATTTACAGTTACAGAAACATTATCAGAGACAACTATTTTATCAACACCATGCTTTACACTACATGAACCTTTAAGGTCTAGACATTTGTCAAAACAACTTCTCATTGACTTCCAGAAGAGAAGAATCTTTCCGTAAAGGGAAAGGAGTTTGTTCATACAATGATCTTCAGTCATGGACTTCATTGTGTGGATCTTTTTCCCCAGGTCTTTAAACCTTGAATGAGCAACCTGGGTCAAATACCGATTGATATTTCTACACAATGGTGCCCAACCACTAAAAGGGGGGTGAATAGTCTATTTAAAAACGACTTAACAAAGATCACCCCGAACTGATAAAACAGATACAAACACAGATATGCTTAGGATAAAAGATGCGGAATAAAGTGTTCAAACTAGGGGTGGGCAAAAAAACTGGAAACCGAAAAACCGAATCGAAAAATCCGGAAAAAAACTGGTCAAAACCGAACCGAAACCGAACTGAACTGGAGATGTTCAGTCCAGTTCTAGTTCTTATTCTTATTTTCGGTTAGAACTGAACCAACCCGTGAATCATTAACATAGTAACAAACCTGTGTTTTTTTAGGTTTTATCTTTTTGGAAGTAATAAAATTAGAACAGAGAAACTAGTTATTATCAATTTCCACTTGTTTTCTCTTCATAGCCGCCTCTTTACTCTCACTCTACTCTCACAAATCTCAGCTTCGTTAGTCTCAAGTTACTGATCTCATTTTGCAAGTGTCAGTGTAGCTCAACTGGTAAAACCATTGGTTGATAATGCCAGAGGTCTGGGGTTCAAATCCCACTAGCATTACCGAGTTTTTGATCTCATTAAAAACAGGCTTACCACAAGTTTTTTGCATGTTTCAGTTGACCTCTAGTAGTAAAACCTTGGGTGATGATACCAAAGGTTTGGGGTTCAAATCTTGCTAGCAATACGGAGTTACTAATCTCATTAAAAACAGACTTACCACAACATTTTTGCAAGTGTCAGTTGAGCTCAACAGGTAAAACCTTAGGGTGATGATACAAGAGGTCTGGGGTTCAAATCCCGCTAGCATTACGGAGTTACAGATCTAATTAAAAACATACTTACCATAAAATTTTGCAAGTGTCAGTAAAGCTCAACTTGTAAAACCTTTGGGTGATGATGCTAAATGTATGGTGTTCAAATCCCTCTAGCATTACTGAGTTACTGATCTCACTAAAAACAAGCTTACCACAACATTTTGCAAGTGTCCGTAAAGCTCAACTGTTAAAACCATTGGCTGATAATTACCGCTAGCATTATTGATCTCATTTAAAATAGGCTTACCACAACTTTTTTAAGTGTCAGTGTCGCTCAACTGTTAAAACCGTTGGGTGATGATACTAGAGGTTTGGGCTTCAAATCCCACTAGCATTATCGAGTTACAGATCTCATTAAAAGAAGGCATACCACAACATTTTGCAAGTGTCAGTAAAGCTCAACTGGTAATACCTCTGGGTGATGATTACCAAGGGTTTGGGTTTCAAATCCCGCAAGCATTATTGAGATACTAATCTCATTAAAGACAAGCTTACAACAACATTTTGCAAGTGTCGGTGGTGATGATACCCGAGTTTTGGGAACAAATCCCGCAAGCATTATCGAGTTACTAATCTCATTAAAAACAGGCTTACCACAACATTTTACAAGTTTCGGTAAAGCTCAACTAATAAAACCATTGCGTGACGATTACCAAAAATTTGGGGTTTAAATCCAACTAGCATTATCAAGTTACTGATCTCATTAAAAACTGGCTTACCATAACATTTTGCAAGTGTCAGTGTCGCTAAACTGTTAAAACCTTTGGGTGATAATTACCAAACTGGGGTTCAAATCTCGCTGGCATTACTGAGTTACTGGTCTCATTAAAAAGAAGCTTACCACAACGTTTTGCAAGTGTCAGTAAAGCTCAAATGGTAAAAGCTTTGGGTGATAATTACCAGAGGTTTGGGATTCAAATCCCGCTAGCATTATCGAGTCACTAATATCATTAAAAACAAGCTTACCACATCATTTTGCAAGTGTCACTGTCGCTCAATTGGTAAAACCTTTGGGTGATGATACCAAAGGTTTGGGCTTCAAATCCCACTAGCATTATCTAGTTACTGATCTCATTAAAAAAAGGCTTACCACCACATTTTGCAAGTGTCAGTAAAGCTCAACTAGTAATACCTTTAGGTGATGATTACCAGGGGTTTGGGGTTCGAATCCCGCAAGCATTATCGAGTTACTAGTCTCATTAGACAAGCTTACAACAACATTTTGCAAGTGTCAGTGGTGATGATACCCGAGGTTTGGGGTTCAAATCCCTCTAGCATTATCGAGTTACTGATCTTATTAAAAACAGGCTTGCCACAACATATTGCAAGTGTCTGTGTAGCTTAATTGGTAAAACCTTTCGGAGATGATTACCCGGGGTTTGGGGTTCAAATCCCGCTAGCATTATCAAGTTACTGATCTCATTAAAAACAGGCTTACCACAACATCTTGCAAGTGTCAGTGCAGCTCAACTTCTAAAACCTTTGGATGATAATTACCAGTGGTTTGGGGTTCAAATCCCGCTAGAATTATCGAGTTACTGATCACATTAAAAAAAAGCTTACCACAACATTTTGCAAGTTTCAGTGGTGATGATACTTGAGGTTTGTGGTTGACATCCAGCTAGCATTATCGAGTTTCCGAACTCATTAAAATGGGCTTAATGCAACATTTTGCAAGTGTAAGTGTAGCTCAACTGGTAAAACCTTTGGATGATAATGCCAGAGGTCTGGGGTTCAAATACCGCTAGCATTACCGAGTAGCTGATCTCATTAAAAACAGGCTTACCACAATTTTTTTGCAAGTTTCAGTTGAGCTCTACTAATAAAACCTTGGGTGATAATACTATAGGTTTGGGGTTAAAATCCTGCTAGCATTACGGAGTTACTGTTCTCATTAAAAATTGACTTACCACAACATTTTTTCAAGTGTCAGTGTATCTAAACTGGTAAAACCTTTGGGTGATGATTACCAGAGGCATGGGGTTCGAATCCCGCTAGCATTTTGCAACTGTCAGTAAAGCTCAACTGGTAAAAGCTTTGGGTGATGTTTACCTGAGGTTTGGGGTTCAAATCCCAATAGCATTTCCGAGTTACTGATCTTATTAAAAACAAGCTAACCCCAACATTTTGCAAGTTGCAGTAAAGCTCAACTGGTAAAACCTTTGAGTGATGATGCCAGATTTATGGTGGTCAAATCTCGCTAGCATTTTTGAGTTACTGATCTCACTAAAAACAAGCTTGCCACAACATTCTACAAGTTGCGGTAAAGCTCAACTAGTAAAACCATTGCGTGATGATTACCAAAGGTTTGGGATTTAAATCCCACTAGCATTATCAAGTTACTGATCTCATAAAGAACTAGCTTACCACAACATTTTGCTAGGGTCAGTGTCGCTCAACTGTTAAAACCTTTGGGTGATGATACCACAGGTTTGGGGTTCAAATCCCGTTGGCATTATTGAGTAACTGGTCTCATTAAAAACAAGTTTAACACAACGTTTTGCAAGTGTCAGTAAAGCTCAACTGGTAAAAGCTTTGGGTGATGATTACCAAAGGTTAGGGATTAAAATCCCGCTAGCATTATCAAGTCACTGATATCATTAAAAACAAGCGTACCACAACATTTTCCAAGTGTCTGCGGTGATGATACCAGAAGTTTGGGGTTTACATCCTTCTAGCATTATCGAGTTACTGATCTCATTAAAAACAGACTTACGAAAACATTTTACAAGTGTCAATGGTGCCCAATTGGGAAAACCTTAGGATGATAATGCCAGATGTCTAGGGTTCAAATCTTATAGAGTTACTGATCCCATTAAGAACAGGCTTAGCACAACAATTTGCAAGTGTCAGTGTAGCTCAACTGGTAAAACCTTTGGGAGATGATTACCAGAGGTCATGGGTACAAATCCGGCTAGCATTACCATGTTGCTGATACCATTAAAAACATGCTTACCAAAATTTTTTTGTAAGGTTCAGTTTAGCTCAACTAGAAAAACCTAGGGTGATGATACCAGAGGGTTGGGGCTCAAATCTTCCGAGCATTACGGAGTTATTGATCTTACTAAAAATAGACTTATCACAACATTTTTGCAATTGTCAGTTGAACTCAACTGGTGAAACCATTGGGTGATGATACCAGTGGTTTGGGGCTCAAATCCGGCTAGCATTACCGAGTTGCTGGTCTCATTAAAAACAAGTTTACCACAACATTTTGCAAGTGACAGTAAAGCTCAACTGGTAAAAGCTTTGGGTGATGATTACCTGAGCTTTGGGGTTCAAATCCCGCTAGCATTATCGAGTTACTGATCTCATTAAAAACAAGCTAATACCAACATTTTGCAAGTGTCAGTAAAGCTCAACTGGTAAAAGCTTTGGGTGACGTTTACCAGAGATTTGGGGTTCAAATCCCGCTCGCATTACCGAGTTACTGATTTCATTGAAAAAAAGCTTACCACAACATTTTGCAAGTTGCAGTAAAGCTAAACAGGTAAAACCTTTGGGTGATGATGCCAGGTGAATGGGGCTCAAATCCTGCTAGCATTACCGAGTTATTGATATCACTAAAAACAAACTTACTACAATATTTTGCAAGTGTCAGAAAAGTTCAACTCCTAAAACCATTGGGTGATGATAACCGGAAGTTTGGGGTTCAAATCCCGTTAGCATTATCAAGTTAGTGATCTCATTAAAAATAGGCTTACCACAACATTTTGCAAGTGTCAATGTCGCCCAACTGGCAAAACCTTTGGGTGATGATACAAGATGTTTGGGATTCAAATCCCGCTAGCATTATCGGGTTACTGATCTCATTAAAAACAGGCTTACTAAAACATTTTGCAAGTGTCAGTAAAGCTCTACTAGTAAAACCTCTGGGTGATGATTACCAGAGGTTTGTGGTTCAAATCTCGCTAGTATTATAGAGTTACTAATCCTATTAAGAACATGCTTACCACAACATTTTGCAAGTGTCTGTGTAGCTCAACTGGTAAAACCTTTGGGAGATGATTACCAGAGGTTTGGGGTTCAAATCCCGCTAGCATTATCGAGTTACTAATCTCTTTAAAAACAAGCTTACCACAACATTTTGCAACTGCCAGTGGTGATGATACCAAAGGTTTGGGGTTCAAATCCCGCTTGCAATATTGAGTCACTGATATCAAT